ATCAATAGTGAATATAATCCGAACTTCTCACTGACTGTGTACTGAGGGTTGGAGCAGGCACACATACACTGGTACATTTTTTGAAGATGATTATTAAAAGAGATCAGGCGTACACACAGTTTCATGCGTCCGTCCCTTCAGTGTGTGTGACCCGTCTTTTCCTTTGTTTTTGAGTTTTGACCATGTGACCGGGACCTCACAGGCGCTGGAACAACTCACTGCCTCTTCCCACTTAACTGCACAACAACCACAGGGTGAGCAGAAATATACTGTAACTCTACACCTGAACACACTCGCGTACACTCAAGCCAACGTGCACACACGTACATATTAAAAAAAACACACACACACACACACACACACACTCACACTCATAAAGCCCACAGAGCCCACAGACAGCCTTTGATCCTGCTCTGATTGCACACAGGGGAATGTTTGGGCGTCTAAAGAAGGATTTACACGATTTACACATAGGCACAAAATAACACCTCTTCACACCATAAATGGTATAGGTCTGTTCTTTATATTGCTGGGTCCCAGAGAATCAAATACTTGAGGTTGTTATTCATGTAGAGTTTCCAAAGAAGCTGTTATTTGTCCAAGACACTCGCGTCCAAGCTTTTCCCCCGATCTGACATCAGTGGAACAAGAATTCCAGGACATTATAAACCGAACGTGGACACTTTAGTTTTGTTTCCAACAGTGTTAAAAGTGCAACTGCTGTAATTGCTCAATCACCAACATCCAAAGCAATCAAAGGTACAGAAGCCAAGAGTCTGAGGTCGTAGCACTCTGCAGCACTCTGCAGCACATGGAGCAAACACATGTCCTAAAAGTCAGAAAAGTGTCTGAAAAATAAAATGGTAAAAAAATCAAACAAGGAATAAAAAGTGTATTAACTCAAGGCCCACATACGATCTTTCAGCTGGATTTCATCAGTTTGCTAATCGTGTCACAGAATTTCATGATAACAACAAACTGCCATGGTGACGACTATAACATCAAACTCGAGGCTTCAAAGCGGTTCTCCACAATGGGTGACGTCAGCTGGTGAAAAATGGCAGAATTTCCGACAGAGGAAAGAGATCACCTCATCAAGTAACTCATTCTCAATATTATATTTTAGGATGCTACGAATTATATCCAGTTACAAAAAAAATCGCCCGGGAAACTGGCAAACAAAAGTACAGAGAGTTGTTGTTATGGAGATGATAAACTTTCTAGTTGATTTTTTGCAGATAACGCAAAATAGATAGATGGATTATGGATGTCACCTTTTGCTGATTGCGTGATTAAAAGAAACCAATAACGTGACACTCATCAATCCACTTCGACCTCCTCTCTAAGAGGTTTTGGGGCTTTACAACAACAACTCATGTTTCTTCCCATTTCAGTCATTAATCACAGGGCTGCAGGTGCTCCTTGGTTGGTCAGTCTTTCTCTTCGGTTCAGATGGAAATATTTCCACAGCTATTGGTTGGATTACTATGAAATGTGGTTCAGACATTCATGTTTCCCTCAGGATAACACATCAGATCGGCCCATATAGGTACTTGGTACGATGTTGTCTGTGTACAGAATCCTCAGTTTTATACAGTCTAACAATTATTTTGAGACCTTGTCTTCACCTGGGCGTTCATGATACCTTAACAAGTTATTGATCATTATGAGGAAATTCACTCCCAAGGACCAAGGGCAATTGTAAACCAGCACCTTGATCAAGGAGAATTAACCTAACATACATGTTTTGATGGTGATGGAAACTGAAGCATCCGGAGGAAACCCACACAACCAGGGGAACACAGAAAGGCCTGAGGTCTGAGTAGGTGACAACAGCTACGTAATTGAGCTATTTACCAAACAGAAAGTGAACTCATAGTCTGTACATGATGTGCCTCAAATCACAAAGTCGCTGTGGTTAGTAGTACGGTTGCTTCTAGCTTCACTGTAGTTTCTTTCTCCCAAAAGGGGGGCGTGGCCTTGTCACTCTGGGAATGATGATGTGCTGTCAATCTGTATAACTTTACTGACTTTACTTTTCCTGTAGCCCCATTGTCAGGTCAACGTTTACATTCTTTACTTTTAAGTTTGCAGGTCAGCCTGCACACAAACGTATTACGTCTATACAGCTCTTAGGGGCTTTGACCACCTCATAGCTTGACCGTGAATGTGTGAGACGCTCAGCAAGTGAAAGTTAGTAGTGTTTATGTACAGTGACATGTCATCACAGTGTGTCATGTGAGCTGCAATTTGGGTTTGGGCCACAGAGCCAGAAGTGCCCCTGGAGGCCAGAGGTGCACCTGTTTTTGTGAAGCAGTTGCAGGTCATTGTTCACCTGCACCTGTATGATCCAGACAGACCGATCTGTCCGCCCAGCAGATCCCTGCTAGATGCACATCATTACTGCAACATAAAGAACAAGATCAAACAACTTGAACCCATTAAACGTGACGATTTTCTTCTCTTTGACTCTGGTTCTTCTTGCAAGACATTTTCTTAAATTAGCTTTTTTTAAATCAAAAACAGAGTGAAATTTACCTGAGGAAGCTGACAGTCTTTATTTTCTCTTTTGTGTTTAACATTAAAGGTCTGAGTACTGATAATTAAGTTTTTGTATCAACAGAATAAGTAAGAGGGCAATGAAGACACACAGCTACCTGACTGAGCTCCATCATTAGCGAACTAATCTGTTTGATGTTTAATACCTATTGCTATCACTGTTGGCTGTGCAAGATACTGAAATCCCACAGAGTGCACTGACTGTGGGTTTGATATGAATTTTTATTTGAAAAAAGGCACTGCTGATTTTCAGGGTTGTTTTTTAAATCAGGAATTGATTATTGAAAATCCATTTCTTAAATGTAGTTTTCACATTAGCTGTGTTTGCATAAATTACCCTGAAAATGTAGCTATTAAACAGACTGACATGCAAAAATCTTCACAATCACCAAAAAGTACCGCTACATTAAAAATGGCTGACTTCCTGTTGGGTTTGGGGTCCAAGAAGCTTTTTTGTTCATATCATTATAATACACCTGCGGATTGATTTCCAAACATATCTGTAAAAAGTACCTTAGGGGCTGAGATATTAGGGCATGGTCGCTGCTCGGGCCCCAATTTTGAACTGATTCCGTTAGAAATACAGGTGAAAGAACGTGACGGCTCTGGCTGCCTTACAGCAGTTTCCCAACAGTCTCCCTACCGGGAAAAGGTGGGGGAGAAGAATGCGGCACAAGGAATTATATGCTGGTGTTTTGGTTATAAACAAAAATTAAGAAGGTAAGTTAAAGAAAAGTATCAAATGGCATCACAGTGGTTCAAGAAAGTTCACGGTGAGACAATATCCCTGGAACGAAACCCTAAACTACTGCCTGGCTTAAAAGTCTGATAATTACCAGCTTCAGGCTTGACCCTGACTTCCTGTGGGGTCAGTCCCTGTACTGTTTGGAATACGACAATGAGGGCTAAAGGGATTGTCTGTTAAAGCTTCAATGTTATAAAAAGCAGAAGCACAATTGTTATAATAAAAATATTAATAGAACATTTGGGCTTAGGGAACTTAGATTGATTTTTACTCCCCAGATTGGATGCAAGTTTGAAAAGTGAACTCTTTATCTGGAGTTTGTCTTTGTCACGAAAGCAAACAC